AAATGCGTTTGGCCCCATTGTTGGCTTGCTTGTTCACCTTGATGGCCACCACCTTGTCATTTTTCTTCTTCAAGAGAGAGATAAGGTGTAGAGGCCTTTTTTCCACCTTGTTGGTGTAGGTGTTGGAGAGCTTGCTTGTTTCCTTTTTGTTTTTCTTATTCTTCTTAGCTCCTCCCCCATTCTTCACCTTGCACTCATAGGACTTGTGTCCTTCCTTGTGGCACACATAGCAAACCATAGTTTGTCCTTCATCAAGCTTCTTCACTCCGTTAACGGTGTTATCTTGATGATATTGGGCTTGTTCCATTTTGCCTTTTACTTGAGTCAAGTCCTTGGTAAGGCGAGGCACTTCTTGCTTGCATTGCTCATTCTCCATTGCGACCTCCTGTGTGCATATATCTACAACAATTTTCTCAACACAAACTTGGTTGCACAAGGGTGAGTCTAAACATACATCATTGCAAGAAGTAGAAGCATCTTTTTTAGGCATGTCAAAGATAGAACTTTTCTTTTTAGGTGCCTTGGTGAATATTGTACCGACGGCTTCAAGATTAGCAACTTTATTAGTTAGCTCATCACAATGTTTGCACATAGTTTCCATTTTAGCAAGCCAACTTTTATAAGCATCTTGTGAGCTAGCTAACTTTTCTTTTAATTTTTCATTTTTCTTTAGAAGTTGCTCATCATTGATTGTGCATGCATTTGTTGTTGCACTAGCCTCAAGTTGCTCAATTTTAGTAGATAGCTCAATATTGAGATTATCAAATATTTCATATTGTTCAAGCAAGGTTTTATATGCTTCTTGTGAACTATCTAGCTTTTCTTGTAATATTTTTAGCTTCTTTTGTTGGCTAGTGCAAGCCTTAGCATATTTAAGATTTTCTTGTACAAGTTCATTAAGAGAAGGCATTTCATCATCACTATCACTCTCACTAGAGGATGAGCTTTCATTACCTCGTGCCATAAGGCACACACGAGAAGAGCTTGATGATGAGTGCTTGTGGCCTCGCCTCTTATGATGGTCTTCTTCTTCACTTAAAGAATCATCCCATGACCTTATTGATGTGAGGGCTTTGTTCTTGCACGTCTTCTTCTTTGTCTTGGGTGTGGGCTTGTTTAGACAAACTTCCACAAAGTGCCCCAACTCGCTGCATCCATAGCATCATTTTCTTTCTTTGCTTATTTCTTTGATTGGTGAAGATGAAATCTTGAATTTGAATGGGCGCATCCTTGACATTGAGCCTTTGGACCATTTTATCCACCTTGTTGATAAGTTTGATTGATTCTTCATCAAGATCGGAGGTGGAGGAGGAAGATTAATCATCATCACTTGAATCTTCATCATCATCATCATCATCTTCTTCTTCTTCTTCTTTATCTCCACTTGAGGAGCTTGAGCTTGAGCTTGTATCAACTTGCTTGGCCTTCATCTTCTTTTTCTCACTACATGCGAGAGCTTTGCCTTTGCTTGCTGATGAGGCTTCTTCTTGACCCATCTTCCGTGATATTTCAAATGCCACTATCTTGCCAGTGACTATGGCCGGGGTCAAGGTGCTCAAGTCCTCCATGTTGTGAAGGATGGTGATGATGCTTGCATTTTTGTTTTGTGGTAGCACGGAGATGATCTTCCTCATGATGTTCGTATCATCTAGCTTCGTTAATCCTATTGAATGGAGCTCATTGATAATTAGATTCAAACGAGAATACATATCACGAACAAGCTCATCATCATTCATTTTAAAGTAATTATAATTTTGTTTAGCTAGACAATGTTTTTGCTCACGGACATTAGTTGTGCCGTCATAGAGCTCTTGGAGTTTTAACTAAATTTCATGTGCCGTATTTAAAGTGGACACTTGGTTAAACACGTCCATGCTAAAATATTTAAACAAGCAATTTTTAGCTTTAGCATTAAAATAAATTTTTTTCTTCACTCTTTGTGGGTTTATCGGGAATCATAATGGGTTTCATCCCATCACGAGTGACTCTCCAAACACCCAGATCTATCGCCTCAAGGTGACAAGCCATTCTAGCTTTATATCAGGGAAAGTTAGTGCCATCAAAGTGCGGAGGTCTAGAGGTATCCATCCCAACCACTTTAAATAGCGTCGGCTCAACGACGGTGAAGCCAAAGGTCCAAATTGAGCCAACCTGGCTCTGATACCACTTGTAAAGGACCGTGACGCCTAAGAGGGGGGTGAATTAGGCAACTTAAAATTCTAATTCTCACTAAGGCCTCTAATTTCACCTAGTCAAAACCTATGCGGAAAAGTAAACTATCTAAATATGCAACTAAGGTTTTGCTAGTGTATGATTTTGCTAGTATGTTGCTATCTCTACCGCAAAAGGAGTTATGCAACCTAGGTTCTAAACTAACCAATTAGCCTATCACTAAGCTAGGAAAGTAAAGCACAAACCAAGATTGCAATATAAATGCGGAAGCTAAAGAGTAAGGTAGAGATATGCAAACTCCCGTCGATGACTCCGGTATTTTTACTGAGGTATCGAGAAACGCGCAAGCTTCCCCCTAGTCCTCGTTGGAGCCCCTCGTAAGGAATCCCTCGCAAGGGCCAAGCTCTCGGTTGGGTAACTCCGTGAATAGCCCCGGACCTTCCCCACACGCAAGTGGGTCTCTGGTGTGCCTTCCAGCAAGCCTCTCCCTGACCGCTCCCCACCGTCTTTACTATCAAGCTTCCGACTGAAACGCCGCGGGCCTTGTTCCCTTCGGTACACGGTGGCGGCCATACCACAAACGCGGTTGGTGTGATCTCGCAAGACTACAAGCCCCTCCGATGTACAACAATGGTGCGCGCAAGCACCGAATAGTAAGAGGTGTGCAAACCTCACTAAACACTAGGCCTAAACCTAGAGAAAGCGCATAAGCGGTGGTCTAACTAACTTAAGCACTTCTCAAAGCACCTACGCTAATCATCGAATGTATCACTAAGCACTATGTAAGTGGAGAACACTAAAGTGGTGTATCAACAACCTTGGTGTGTTTCCTCAGCTCTCCACTCCTCAAATGGCTGGTTGGGGGTCTATTTATAAGTCCCATGGAGAAAGTAGCTGTTGGGGACGAAACCCAGCTTTCTGTCATTGACCGGATGCGCAGGTCGTCCTGATCAGACGTGTCCGGTCATCCCGACCGTTGAAGCCGACCGTTGGCGCTCACTATTGATCGAACTCTCTGGCGAGTCCGGTCGATTACCATCTGATGCGTTCGGTCGACATTTTGTCATTCTGGAACCTCTCCAGACTCGATCGGACGCCACTACCTGGCGCGTCCGGTCGTCCACAGCTGCTTCGTCCGGTCCTCACTGAGTTGTTGCCATAATGATGAACAGTGAAGTCCGTGCGTCCGGTCACTGCCTCACTCAGAGACCGGTCGCTGCTGCTGACGCCTGCTGTTGCCGAGCAACTGATCGGACGCGTTCGGTCCTCATAGGGCCGCGTCCGGTCACCTCTGTCGAGCTCGTTTCTTCGCGATCTAGCGTCCGGCTTGGTTCTCATATTCGTGCTTGGACTTTGCTTGATATCTTGGGTCTTCTCTTGTGCTTCTGGGGTCTTGCTTATGGTGTTGATCGTGGGATCATCATGTCGCCTTCGTCAAAGTCATGTCTTGCACCCTATTGAACTACAAAACAATTACTTACAAATTCATTAGTCCAATTTGACTGTGTTGGTCATCAAACAGCAAAATCCAAAGTAAATGGGCCTAGGGTCCATTTTCCTTACAAGCACGACGTTGAATGTAGTAGTAACAACTAAGGAGGAGGCCACCTCGATGACGACGCAGCCGAGACCAACCTCAGAAGCTTTAGTAGATGGACGATGAGAACCGACAGAGGAAGCTTAGCACTAGAGACTAGGGTGGCCGAAGGGGGATGTGCAGCGAAGGCCCAAGCCGAGTCGCCTCCACAACACCAACCCCCGCCATCATGCTTCCAAGTGATAAACTAGCCTCAATGATCCATGAATCGATAGATCCACGTGAGAAGTCAAATCTGAAATTTACTTGGTGGAGTGGAAGGAAATGGGTCGGATTTGGTTGTTGGGGGCGAGTCCTCTAAGGGTGTGTTTGATTTGACGATAATGTTGGATTGGATACGACCATCTGTAAATTTCAGGTGTTTGGTTCGATGGATAGGACAAATATTTTTTTGTCCGGTTGGATGGATAGTAGTTCACTAATTATATCTTTTAACAGAAATGATAACAAATAATCATACACAAATAAATATGCACGGACACTATTTTTTCAAGATAATTACTAATTAAAAATAAAATATGTTAATTGGCACACAAGTCATGCGCTAGCTAACATAGAAGCACTAATCAAAACTAATCTTACCATCATAATTAAGTACTAGTATAACCTTTTTATTAATAATGACAAAAATTAGAACATACGAACAATCCTTAATTTATTAATAATGACCAAGATTAGAAAATATAGATGAGCACGTCAGGTCTTTTCTTGTAGCCTCATCCACCATGTAGAGAGAATATTCTCATACTTTCAAAATATGATTTGTTATCTCCATCCATGAATATCTTTCAAACCAAACACATCCTAAGTCGCCATGATCGGACACTCCTTGCATCCTCATAACGTGTCCAGTGCTTCTTCGAAACTGAAGTGTTCCAACAACAATCACAAGATAAAAAAGGCAGTAGTGAAAAGGTTTTTGTTTTTGGTGTCAAGATCATCAACACTGCATAGTGTGTTCGCGCAAAGAGGTCACCAGTAACGTTCTACACTACATCTTGGGGGAGAACCTGCAACGTACATTCAAAACAAGTGACCATCATGCATGCATGCTGGTCACTACCACCTGCAGGTTCTATGGAACAACCCAACCTTACCGACTACATACTAGCTAGCTAGTGCTACCATTACTACGCTACTAACCCTCCTCGTTCCTCAAAGCTACCTGCTAATCCTGCTGCTATGCCATGCCGGTCGTCACCGAGACGATGCCAGTGCTAGTGACATCGTCTTAACTGCCTTCTTCCTCGGTGCCTGCTTTCAGGTACTCGCCGTCCCCGCTCTGCGCGCCGGAGCTGGTGCCACCCCGGACGTCAACCGACAGCGAGGTCGATCCCTCCTTGGCGCCACTGCTGCTGCGGCCAAAGCCTGAGAACATGCCGGCGTTCATCATGCTGTTGCCGGCGCCAGCGCCAGCAGCACCGCCCATGCTGGCCTCGCCGTGGAGGATACTGAACCCACTGGTCGTGCCACCGCCGCCCCCTGAAGCCATGCCCAGCTGGCCGTGCGCCGCCTGCTGCTGCTGGAGTGGTGACATGGATGGGTGGGCGTACATCATGGAGGACCGCGCCGCCATTAGCGACTGCGGGCTCATCATCTGCCCGGACTGCGGTGGCATGTACCGAGGGCCCGGCTGCATCATCAGGTTGGACGGGTACTGCAGACATGCCAAGTGAGATGAGCGACGCAACCCTTGATTCGCTAATGAAAATGCTTGGTTGTTAGAGCAGCAAGGGCCAAGCCGACGAGCAGCATTAGCAGTACCTGTGCGGTCTGTGGTGGCTGGCTGTCGGCGATGGCGGCCAGGTACATGAGGTTGTGCTGGAGCTTAGCTTGGTGCCTGCAAGACAGCATCAGGTGGCAAACACGAGAACACTCAGCTGACGAGGATATCTATAGTTCATTGCACTACATAATCATGCATGGTGGTCGACAGATATATATAAACTAAAGAAGTCTCTTTTATCAGTTGTCACAAGTAAGCAGTGAACAGATGAATATGCTTGCTATTACTTGGAACGATGATTGAGAAAGGAACATCAGAAGTTGCTTCAGTTATGGAAAAACTATATAAGGTGTGATATATGACTTTGACATAATGCCATTACAGGCCACAAAAACAGTAGACTGAACAAAACAGTACATGGTTGGTGCTACAGGACTAATCACTTGCTTTTTATCACGTGAACATTTGCCAAATATATTAATCAAATATGGGAATCATTCATCGCGAAAGGAGCATTTTAGCAAGAAACATATTTTAACAGTCAACAAATTAGGCTTGTTTGTTTGATGCTAGACTGAACAAAGGGGCATTCTTGTCCATGTTAACACAGGTGTTGATAGACTACAGCTGCTACTACATCCATAACCATCCATAACAATCGTGCAGGGAGATGAACATGAAACTCAGTAACTCACCGTTCGCACTCCTCCACCTTGCCATTGTTCTGGTTGTCGAGGATGGCTAGGATCAGCTGCTTGTTCTCATCCAGGTACTGCACAGTTCAGGGTCGAAAACGTATTAGCATGCCAATACATTCCAGTAGACGCTTGTGTCTATCATGTCAATACATTCCAGTAGACGCTTGTGTCTATCATCGCTGACCACAGACGGAGCATTTACTTTCTCATCTATCTACTGCTAACGAAGAAATGAAAGTAAGTCTCAAATACAAATACTTTGCAGACCAGTGAACAATACTTGTACGACTGACCAACAAGGCAGTTCGTCCCCAATGAACTGCCTTGTAGATTCAATGATTGATACCCTGGTTTCTCACTCAAACGTACGCCTCTCCCAATCTAAAGATCAATCATTGACTGACACGGGAGCGTGCAAACATAGGCATCAGGCAAGGTCAGGACATGCAGTCCGCGGTCCCCCCGGGCCCCTGGCTGTTAGCATTTCGGCGTTTGGCTGTGAAGCTGGAGCTTTTTAAGGGTCTAACAGTCAAACTCCAATGGGCGTCCGGCAGTACAGCGCACGCGAACCTACATTCGCTCCTACCCACATGAATTTCAGAATATGGTCCAGATCATGCTCTCCCACAGCACGGCCAATAAGGGCCTGCCTGTGAGCTTGTGACCACTCAGTGTCTGCAAAATTACTTTCAAAAAGAAAGAAAAACAAGCAAGTAATAAGATATTTGATACTACTAGTCCTTTTATATGTTATTACCTATCCAAACATTTGATATCTATGCAAATCTCACAGCTTTTATATGTTTCCTTCGATGGAAATATCCCACATGACGCCACCTGGCCAGGCTTTAAAGATTGCTAGGCAGGAGACAGGTGCAGGGTGCAGGCCTGGCATCGTTACTGCTTGCGAAAAAACAGCAGGGGGATGTATGATCATTCACAGCAGGCCACCAACCAAACCGAGCTACAAAGGGTTGGGGTTTAGATGCGGAGATAAAGGAGGTATTCAAATCATGTGGGCGACAACAGCAAAAGAATAGGACCAAATAGACTGCGGCAGTTTGAACTGCAGAGGAAATCAGAAGCGAGGGACCATCTGAGACCACGTCAATATGAAATAGCACAGGGACATGGGATGAATCGAAAGATGAAAAAAGAAAAAGGAAATCAACACAAAGAACAGAAGAGAAGGGGAAAAACTGAAAGCCCTCTCTTTTTGACAACTATTTCGAATATCATGCAAGATTGATAAAAAGAGGGGGGTATTTTCCAGTCTCCAAAAAGAATATTTGCATTTACAGATTAAAAAAATGCAAGTAAACGTGAAGATACTAGTGCAGAGAAAAATCAAGAAAGCAAAAGAGATTGGGGAAAAATCAGGGAGGGGGAAAGAACAAAAAAAGAGAGAACTTTGACTCATATATGATACTCTGACGAGCAAAGAGGAAGGGAGAAAGAAAGCCAGAATCCAAAAGGCGACAGCGAAGGCAAGATCACGGCACAAACAAAGAAGAAAAAGATTCAAAGACACGAGGATAGAGCAGGGGAGGGATGGGGGGATTTGGGTTAGGATCAGGACCTGCTGGATGAGATCGGTGGTCACAGCGGCAGGTGAGGTGTAGCCCCCAATCATGTTCTGGTTCATCTGCATCAGGTGTTGCTGCTGCATTCCAAGACCACCACTGCCAAAAGCTTACGATCCCTCGCTGCCTCTCTCTGCGCAGCCTACACACCACCGCCGCCGCCGCTTCCTCTTCTCCTTTCCCTCCTCTGCGGTTGCTTGCGAACAGGCCGCTGGCGAAAAAGCTGGAGAGGAGGACAGAGGGGGGTTCCGTTCCCTTGCGGCTTCTTGGGGTTTTGGCGAGAGATGAGGAGAGCGGGGTTTTGCGCAGGTCAGGCCGCTGCCCGTCTCTCCTCTTGCCCTGCTTTGGTTCCCTTCTTTAAAAAGAGGGAGGAGAACTAGGCTTTGACGTGTCTCTCGGTTGCCTCTCTACTCTTTAGCCATGGAGTGGCAAATAGTTTTGAAATCGAGTAAAACTTTTTACTATGCCATTGCCATGTAGAAAAGCTCGGTAACTTTTGATACCAGGCCTACAGAAAAGCTCGGTAACTTTCGGCCTGGGGCAGCACCTGTGCGAAAGGATTGGGGATCGATTCTCTGGGCTTTGTTAAACCTAGCCTTGTTTACGTCACCTCCAAATTCCAAGTTTTTTCACTCTCTTTCCATCACATTAATTTTAACACATATATGGAACATTAAATATAGGTAAAAAAAATAACTAGTTACACAATTTTATTGTAAATCACGAGATAGATTTTTTAAGCCTAGTTAGTCTATTATCGGACAAAGTTTATCAAATACAAACGAAACGTGCAACAGTGTCAATTTGCAATCTAGGCCCTGGGTGTAAAGTTTGAGAACATCGCATTGATATCACGTGAAAGTATTTGGATGCTAATAAAAAATAAATTATAGAATCCGTCGGTAATCCACGAGATAAATTTATTAAGTCTAATTAATCCATCATTAGCATATGTGTACTGTAGCACCACATTGTCAAATCAAAGATTAATTATGTTTAAAAGATTTATCTTGCAAATTAGGCACAAACTGTATAATTAGTTATATTTTTAGTCTATATTTAATACTTTATATATATATATATATAAATATTCGATGAGATAGAAAGTAAACCTTAGAGAAGGAACTAAACAAACCCTAGACAATAGCAGCTACTGACCATGGAGGGCGAAAACAAATCAAGCACAAGCTCATATGCAGTGGTGCCTTGTCCGCATAATTTATGTGCGTCTGCACGCCGGGAGAGTATTTATGTCTGGGGGTGGCAAAACTGTCATGCTGGCCTCACAGTAATATTGGTCCTATTTGATACAGCTTATTTAGAAAAACGCTTTTTAGATAAGCTACACAAAGTTAAAATAAGCTGATTTGGTCCAGTTTCTGCTTTTTAGTATAAATAGAAGTCATGAGAATAAGCATGATCAGAATAGGCTACTGAAAAATATAGTGTTTGACTGTTATTTTTAGCTTATTTTAACTCTAAGCAGCTTATAAGGTGTACAAACAGGCCCATTGTTTGTCAACAAAAGCAGCCGTTCTAGGTTCAGGGACTGCGTAATCTGGGCAATTTGTGGGCAGGCTAGATTTCGTGATACAGCGCCGTGTCCAATGCTCGTTCGTAATATAATAGTCCAATATACTAATCGTATTGAGACCCACAAGAAAAGCAGCCGTTCTAGGTTCAGGCTAGATTTCGTGATACATCGGTTTGGTAGTCCAAACCCTCCTACCATATACACTCCGAACCAGATGCTACCTCGGCCGAAAAAATATTTTCTGGTTTCCCCAAATCAAACAATCCTAAAATTAACTAAATTTATAAAAATAATAACAACATTCATATTTTTAAACATGTTGATTATGTAAAATATATATTTCAAGATTACTTTTATTATTTCTTATATATTTAGTCAAACTTATGATGATTTAACTCCTCATTATAAAGTAAGATTCTCATTCTTTTGAGACCCACAAGAAGTAAGCACTAAACGGCTACCATATAAACATATTGCTGACTAGATAAGAAAATTAAATAAGAGAGAGGTAAGTTGTTTCATGCCTGAGAAACCATTTCGGCTTGTGAACTCGAAGGGTATGAAACTTCTGGTTTCAGAGACGGGGGTGTCGCCCATTTCCTTTCGAGTGGAGCCCGCCCTGTAGACACTGAGGACGATTTTTTTTTATTTTAACACTTTTTCGAAACTAATTTTAAATCTAACACTCTCGATTTTTTTTAAAACTAACACTTTTGGCCGCGCCTATTGTCCTGGCGCGGCCAAATGCCTGTGCCGCGCCATGCATGGTGGCGCGGCATAGGGCTGACGTGGCGACGACCCGAAGCTGCGACTGCTGACGTGGCAGGGCCTGCCGCGCCACCGACCTTGGCGCGGCAGTGCCGCGCCCTGATCCGTGGCGCGGCAGGGCCAAATAAATACCTCGCGCGAGCCCCGCCTGGCCGAGCAGCCACGCCACCTGGCCGCCGCGCCCGCCGCCCGGCCGGGGGTACCTGGACGGTTTAATCGAAACACGTCGCGCCCGTCTTTTATTGAATTATTTTCACGGCCAAATAAAGAATTTGATACGCCAATGATTCGTCAATCATAATACGGTTATGCACCATTTTAACTAATCGAGTACGAAAAATTGCCACATAACATATTCATTGTTTTGACATAAGTTTGACATAACTTAACCAAATAACCCTGCAAGTTGACAATCTGCCACATAACATAACATATTCATTGTTTTGACATAACTTAACCAAATAACCCTGCAAGTTTCGGATGTCAATATTCGTTTGACCTAACAAACTAAGATCCATGAGTGTAAGGATCCCTCGGACGTCTTTGTCTCTTCGGATTTGTTGGCAACACATTGGGAGTGTAGCCAACGTCGGTATGGTCGCGTCGACGGTGCGTACGGCTCGTACCCTGCAAGTATATGATACGCACGATTACTTATAAATTTTTATAATCGTTGGTTCATGGAGCCTACGTATTGAAACAAACTATCTTGGTTAGTACCTGTGAGGCTCCTTGGGTGCCAAGCGGGGCACCACCAAGCTGAGATATGCCGATCTCGTCCTGCGGCCAATCGTCCCACTAGTCGTGCTGTCCGCCGAAGCCCGGACGGTCGTCGTCGTCATCATCATCGTCCTCGTCGTCCTCGGTTGCAGGGTCCTTCCTAGCGCTATGATGTGGTGGTGTACGCACCGCGGAAGTGGCACCTGTCATCGGCTGAGAAGAGCCGGCTGGTGTCCTCAAAGAGGCTGATGACGTGCCACCTGACCGCGCCGGGAGTGGCGGTTCATAAGGAGTGTCCATGCAGCTCAGCTTCTGAGCTAGCTTCCTGCAGCTCTTCTTCACCTTCTGCATAAATAGATGTTAAAGTTAGTGCATTACCCAAACGCATATACACTAAAGAAACATTTCTGGAACGGACAAGTTTATGTTTACCTCCACAAAAGCCGCGAAAACGCCTAGCCCCTACCCTCTAGACTTGTGTAGCCGGAACGCTGCTTCGTTGGACTGCCTTGACAATTGTGTCGCCTGAGTACAGAAACGCGGTTGGACAGTTTTAGTAGACATACTTAATACCAAAATGTTAACAAGCTGTACCATTTAAGTATATTACCACGTATCTTTGAAGCGGGGCTCTCTATAGCTGTGTGTCCTCCCTAGTGGTAACGTCGTACACATCTTCGATGACATCTTCCTCCGAGTCCTCATCAATCGTCACGTCAGTGTACGGGGGCTTGATATGTGTCCTCGTAGACCTGTGAAGCCACCGCAGGTACTCGTCGAAGGTGCGTTGGTCGTGTGGAGGACCGTCAAGGACCGCACGTGGTACCCTGTTCTGCCACAAATGGATCCGCGAGCTGTGTGTCACGCGCCAATCCTTGGTCTTGTACCTCTTCTTACGGTCATACCTGCAACAAAACGATGTTAGTTGTACCAAACAAACCTCTGAATTGTAGCATTGTTATTAATCGATAACGCACCCGTACAATTCTTGGTTGGTGGAGTAAAGCGGTGGTGGGCAGCCTGTTATTCTCCCAAACTGTTTGCAGACCCAGATGGGCAAGTGAATCTCAACCACATGAAACAAAATAAGAGGGACGTCGTAGCGATACTCGTGTGACTCGTCCCTAGTGACAGGACTGAGATAGGCCTAGAGCTCCGGAGAATCCCAAGGACACCAATGCACCTGAAATTTTGTAATTGAGTTAGGCTGTGATATAGTGTACATCGAAGAAGACACAGGAATGATAGTAAAGAGATCCTAACCTGGTGCTGTGTTAGGACGTTGAGACCGTCCGTGTACTCCCTGTACTTGCGCCACGCATTCCCTCTAACTAACTGTGCTTCCGTCCAGATATACAGAGCTGTAGGGAGGGTATCATGCCCGTTCCATTGCTGCATTTAACACGATAATGAATTAGCCACTAATAATCTCATCATATCTAACTACCTCGAAGAATATAATGAACCGAAGTACTTATCGGTAAACCATTATTAAGGGGCCTCCCAACGGGCAATCGTTCCCAACACCAAACCTGGAGTAGGTAGGAGCAACCCTCAAGGTTCGTATAGCCTGAGGTGCGACGGCACGCAACGCATAGCTATCAATACGTCCATGCCAGGACTGCGCTGCCCCAGCTGTACGCCGCTATGTTCTCCCACGGTTGACGAAGTATGTCTAGGAAGATTCCGCTGATGGTGTTGCCCGAGGCGTCTGGGAAGAGGAAAGCACCAAGAAAGTGCCAGAGCCACACTCGAGCGAAGCTATCGATCAGAGCCTCCTCAGCCTGTGGGTCCAAGTAATCAAAGCGCTCCGTGATCTAGGACGATGAAACATCGGAACTTTTCTAAAATTGACCAAAGAAAATGAGACCCCATGGCTACATGAAAGCAATGCAAGTATTAAATAGGCTTGAATTACTCACTTAGTTTTCTTGAAAGCATCGTCGTCCGGTGGAAGAAAGTCAGTAAACTGAGCCACCAGCTCCCTCTAGTGATCGTTGTCAACTATCCCTGTCACCGGAAGTCCCCCCAACCGAAGGCCTAAAACAACCTTCATGTCCTGCA